GTTATAAATCAAAAATAGACAACAGTTAAAACAGTTATAATAACAAATGTGATTAATTTTATAAGAATTACTTTAAAATATAAACGGTAAAAGTCTATTAAAAGAATTATAAAGAAAATAACTCTGACAAAAGTCCAATTGCAATGATCACAAATAGTTGTTTCACTAGTATAAAGAAAAACACATACGAACCTACCTTTAGTTTTTTTATCACTAAGGGGAAACTAAGGGGTTGTTGATTCTTGAATGGAGATTTTTGGAACTTTGAAAATTCTTTTTCCAAATTTAATTTTAAATTTTTATATTATGCTGGAGCAGTGAAACCCTAAAAGTACTAAATATTCTTTAAAATTGTACATGTACTAGGTAAGTAAGAATACCTACCTTTAATTAGAAAGCGGCTATCATAAGACCTATGCTAACATACGGTGCAGTTGTTTGGGTACCCAAAAATTAACAGCTATCCGTAAACTAGAACAAATTCAAAGCACAGCACGTCTCTATAACAGGAGCCATGAAAACGACACCAACCAGAGCCATGGAAGTCATTCTTAGTCTCACTCCCCTTGATATTTACATCAATGAGGTTGCTCTGACGACAATGACACGCCTCCGCGCGGTCGGAATAGAACCTGATGTAGGATCTGGTGAGGCGAGACGTCGCTTTTGGCCGGAGGCGCTCGATACGCTTCCACTGATTCAAGCGAACATGGAATCCATCTCACCGAGATATATCTTCCATAAGCCATATAAAGTTATAATAGAACAAATAAAAGAGCCAGAAGTGGCAGGTACGATTTATATCTACACCGACGGTTCTAAAACAAAACAAGGCTCAGGATGTGGAACATAGTCCAGATTCTTAAACCTAAACATAAAATGGGCTGTGAGCAATAGTGCCAGTGTAGTTCAAACAGAGCTAACGGGGATTATCATAGCAGCAAAAGAAATAACCAGAAACAATATCACTGGAAGGAACATACTCTCTATACAGAGAGTAGACAAGCACTACTCACCCTGAACAGACCACGAATTTACTCAGGGTTAGTACCAGAATGTCACGAAGCTTTGGCCGAAGTATCTATAAATAATGTGGTCACTTTAAGATGGATCAAAGGTCACGCCAAATCGAAAGGTAATAGTCTTGCTGATTCACTAGCCAACAAAGCAGCCAACCAAATACTTTTTGGACCTGGCCCTTCTATTGGCCTGACAAAATGGTAGTGACAGACCTAATTAAAGGACATTCCCTTGTGAAATTCAAGGAAAGATGGGATGAAACAAGAAACTGCAGAGTTGCCAGGGAGCTCTTAAGTAATCCTGACAACACTACAACAAACAAATACTTTACTATAGCCAGATAGAATTTGCGCCTAGTCACAGGAATTCTGACTGGTTATTGCCAAGTACGAAAGCATCTCCATATTATTGGGTTGTCAGAATCCGCACTCTGCAGAGGGTGCGAAAAAGAAGATGAGACCATCGAGCATATCCTTTACGATTGCTCGACGCTCTTTTTAGAATATTTGTGTTCGGCGTGTATCGGCTAACACCGGTCGATATAAGAGAAGCACCTCTTGGCGACGTTGTCAACTACATTAAATATGTAGGGTGGCTCACGAGCTAGGAGGTGCCTATCATCTCAGGAGGATGAACCATGGGCCTAATGAGGCCTAAGTGCCCCGGGGGTAACCCATCCTCTACATGTTACACAGATAGAAAGCGCAAGTGAACTTGTAATATCTCTCTATTATCTAGGACAAAAACATTGCCTTTTATGAACGTGGTATCTAGTGCAGGACATAGTGGCGCATTCGTTTGCAAAATTGTTTTAATTCGTAATTTTTAAAATGTCCGGAAGGCTTTCCTGATTATGAAAGTGTAAGATGACACTCGATATCTGTTGATGTTATTGTTTAAACAACGAAAAATTAATTAAGCCAGAAAAAATGCATTTTTTGCAATGAATTAATTTTTTTATATTCTTTAGGATATTTTGAATTAAAAAAGTCCTTACGCCCTTCATCGTATCTTTAACCCTTTAATTGTTATGAATTTTTTAAAATCCGAAATTGACGAAAATTCTAATTTTCTTGAATTAAATAATATACCTTAAAATTTAAAATGCTATAATTTTAAATTTTTTAACGAATATTCAAACTATAATAAACAAAATAACCTAAATAAATTTTTAAAATTTTGTTTGTTGTTGTTTTTTTTACGTTATAACAATATGCTTCCTACGCGCGTGTACTTTTAGAGAGAAGTACTTCTATCTATTTTAGAAAAATAGACAAGTCGAAGATTTTTGTTCTAGCTATGTATTAGATACCCTTGTTACTAATCATAGAACTACAATTTTAAACATAAATATATTTAATAATTAGGAACCTGTGAATAAAATTAAATTTATCAATAAATTAAATAAGAATAATCTCAAAGTTGATTTACCTTCTTATAATTGGAATGCTTTATACGGTGTGACACAAGGGATAAATCATATAAAGCATATCAAAAAGACATAGAAAACAAAGTGTTAAAATTTATTAATTACAGATATTCTTTAAACCGCCTTATTCAAGTTACTAAACTTAATTATCAGGACGCATAGATAGAATCAAATAAAAATAACTCTCAAAAATTATAGAAAACAATAAAAAATATAACAAACTCTAATAATAATATAACTGATATAAAAGAAGTTATAACAAAAAACGGTATTGTTGTTGAGAATAAATTACAAATAGCAGAAGCATTCAATGAATTCTTCTCGGAAATAGGACCTGACCTTGCTAGACTTATTACAAAACCACCAACACATCCTCCACCTCGGAAAGTAAATAATAACACCATATTCCTAAAACCCGCAAATAAAGAAGAAATTATTTAAATTATACAAAAGTTAAAAAATAATAAAAGTCCTGGTATAGACAATATAACAGCCGAAACGTTAAGAGAAATTCGTACAAAACTTTCTTCACCACTCTGCTTTATTATTAATATAATTAGAGAAAAAGGAATTTGTCCGATATAATTCAAGTCTGCGCAGTTATAAAACCTCTTCATAAAAATGGAAATAAATAAACTCCTACTAACTACAGACCTGTTTCTATATTAAGCAATTTTTCAAAAATGTTTGAAAAAGTAATAAAGATAAGATTAGAATAATTTTTATACAATAATAATATTATTTCTAAAAAACAATTTGGGTTTCGTACAGGTATTTCTACGGAACATGCAATATTAGACTTAACAACAAAATTATATAAGGCTATTGACTGCAGCTGGCCGGCCATAGGGGTATTCCTCGATCTTGCAAAAGCGTTCGATACTGTGGACCACTCGCAGCTGTTGGATTCTTTGCAGGATGTGGGAATACGAGGAGTTGAATAAAAACTGTTCGAATCTTATCTAATAGGAAGAAAAAAATGTGTTAAAATAGATAATAGTATAAGCTCAGAAAGGATTGTTCAATGTGGCGTTCCACAAGAGACAGTTCTTGGTCCCATTCTCTTTACAATATACATTAATAATCTATTTACTTTTACAACTTCTGGAGAGATAAAAAGCTTTGCTGATGATACTGTCATCTTTTAAACTACAAACACCTGGAATGATCTGAAACAAAAAATTGAAAAAGATATAAGTAATATTATAGATTGGTTTAATTACAAACTGCTTACAATAAAACTATGTCTCTACCTATAACAAGCTATAAAAATAATCTTCCTAATTACAACAAGCTATAAATCAACAAACATGGTAACTTAATAAATATTAAACAAACAGGTAAAGTATTTAGGAATAACTATTGACAACCATATCCGTTGGGACTATCATATTACTGGTGTTACAAAAACTCTTAGGTCATTACTAGGTAAATTCAAAGTTAAAATTTTGAACCTACCTCTTCTTAAAACACTATCAGCCGTATACAGTCGATTGCCAGCGACTCGCCAGATATTCATTTCGGCGTATCGCCAGCGAATCGACTATGCATACAGGTGTATATTATGCATTAGTTGATTCTCGCCTCTCCTATGGAATTATAGGATGGGGAGGAGTAACATATACTCATCTAAAAAAGCTAGAAGTAGTCCAAAAATTATTTTTCAAAATAATACTTCAGAAAAATAGAACTTACTCTTCGAATGCTCTTTATAAAGAGGCAGCGATCCTAGACTTAAGGCAAACATTTTTCTTAAGGGGGGTATGTTTATTAACTAATGAAAAATATTCGTTGGATTTAAAATACATATGTCATTGTCATAAAACTAGAAGTAAGGATTCTGGAAAATTAATGACACCTATTGCCCAAAAACAATAAGGCATAAAAGTCTTATGTTTTTGAGATCTAGATTTTTAAATTTTTTACCAAAGGAAATATGTTTCTCAACTTATTCGGTATTTTGTTTTAGGAAAAAAATTAAATCCTTTTTAACAAATATACTAAGAAAAGATATTTATAAATTTTTTAATTTGTGAAAACAAATTAAACAATGTGGAAATATAAAATGTTAGTAAGATGCACTTAAAAATGTAAAAGTAAAATAATCAAATAAACCCAGCCCACAGACAGCTTTGGCTTTGTGGGAATTGTTTTCTCTGTTTGTGTTAATTTTGTAATTTTGGAAAAATTAAAATGTTAAATTTAAGTTTAATTGTAATAATTGATGCAAATAAAGATTATTATTATATATTGATTATTATTAAATAATTCAAACGACTTTATTTTAACATAACATTGATAAATTATAATAAAAAATAACTATGTCTGAGAAGACTACAGAATAAACCTAGGGTATATACAATTAGCAGTAGCTTCATTTTCTACATATCAGATTTGATACCACAACCATAGTAGGAACCTTCAAACAGCAATATGATCATATCAAATAAATTGATTATCTGAGGTTTCAACTCCTACTTCCGGTTAGGCAGACAAACATATATTAGAATCAGATCTACATTGAAATGAGCAATACTAATTATTTTTTTAGGTTGCACCATGTGAACAAACCTACGTATTCCACCCAACTCAAAACAACTATAATGACGGTAGTGATTTAGCTCAGCAATTTTCCGAAAACAATCGGTCTTCCAGGAGTTTTCTTCAAGAAATTCAGAAACTGTCCCAACTCAACATTCCACGAATGAGTAACAAATGTAGTTACACAGTATTGACTGGATGTGCCGGAGATAGTACAGAAAGCTTGTTAAGGCAGCATGCAAGCCCTCAGACGGAAGTGGAGGTTATAGATACTGACATTGATACACCCCGTAGAGGTAACTATAATATTTTTTTAATATAGTTGCCAATTTTATGGATACGTTTTCAAATCATGAATATGTCGATATTAACTTTATTTATGGATAACATTAAAAAAATAAAAAAAAAACCACACACAACTTTGGTAATTGATAAAACATTACTTTAATCTGGGAAGAAACAAACTTGGTTTTTCTTATTTTAACAATTTGGATGTTCATCAAGCAAAGGCCGAAACAATCAAGAAATTATTTTAATAAATGATCTCTTTATTTATTATCCATACTTTCTTAAATTTAAAATTACTCGTAATCCTTCAGACAAAAGTGAATAAAAATGTGCATCGAGTCAACCTTTATATAGAATAATTAATTTTTTAGAAAATATTGTACACTATTGAACCCCATTTATCATAAAAAATGTCAGGACAGTTAACGTGTTATTAAGAATTTTCATTATTTTATTACCATTGGCAATATTTACCCAATGAAGTAGTTCAGTGTGGAAGTGGTATTGCGTGACTTCCAGCTTGATTGCGTGATTGGCACCTTTATAAGTCAATATACATATTAAAATACTATTAGGCAAACTTAATCCCCTTTCATTTTAGTTTTTCTTCAATGAATTTTTTCTATAAAAAAATTATAAAAAACAATACAATCTCCTTTTCTGTAATCAGTGTAGTAATGTATAAAATAGCTCTACATTTCAAAATTTGAAAATATCCTTTGTCCAATTACTTATGTAGGTACAGACTTCTACATCACTAAGAATTTCTTGTTATGTACTTGTTTTAGGTTCAATGATCAAGTCCAAATCAGCATACATAATAAAGAAAAAATACAATACGGACGCATCTCCAGTGGCAGACGAAGAACAAAAAGAAACAAACACTAAAAAACGCGTAGAATTCGATAGCACAGCTACAAAAATACCTCGCGAACCAATTTCTGTGCCAAATTTTAGTGTAATAACGTTACCAACCCCTGTATTAACACCAGTAGAAGCCACCAAACTAGTATATTTAGATAGCGAAGATGAGAATGAGTTACTCGGTAAAACTACAAAGTTTTCTGAAAAAATAACTAGCGTTCAAGCGAACAACGAAAAGACTGTCTATGAAAACTTTAAGCCAATCAAAAAAGGAGAAAGTTACAGTTCTCATATAGGCTACGCCGACAATCCCCTGTATCAAGAGATGATAAAATCATTAGAGGAAAAGTCCAGAGAAAACGTTTCTTCCACGTCAGACTATGCCAGTATTGAGACTGTTAATAGGTTGTCATCTAACAGTAGTTACAGTGTTAAAACAGGTAATTACAATCCACAGTTTAATACAGTCTGTTCGCTATACTTACGCGGGTTTCGGATTAACAAAATTATGCAAATAAGTCATTGACAACCAATTCCAATAAGCCTCTTCCCAAGAAATTAGGTAAAATTGCCCTAATGGTCAGATTTAAATTAAAATAACATTAGAGTAGGTACTAAATTTGTTACAAATAATTAATTAATTAATCCGCAACCTCCGTAAGTATAGCCAACAGACTGTAATTGTTAAAGCCATTTAGGGATCTATTCTGTAAAAATTTGATTAAAATTAACACTGGATCATAAAAATAAGCAGATGTTATTTGCACTTTTGTACTCTGTATATCATGTTTGGTTAACATTATAACTAATCAGTCATAATTCTAGGTTAAAATTCAAACTTTATTGGTAAAGTATGTTATGTTGGGTATGGGGTATTTTTGTACTGCGACCTAAAAGATCTATTGTGCCTCCTTCTATCGCCACTGCATCGATGAATTAGAATCGATGAATATAACTATCCTTCCAATCCCATCTTCTCAAGTAAGTGTAGGATTTGGAGTTTAGGTAGATCGACCTCTTCTATTTAGTATGATCCTAAGTATAGTGCCCTTGGAATCTGAAGTGTTACACATTCAGTCAGAATTCGAATGGAGGTTTCATCCTCCTCCTCACAGAACCTACACTGACTATCTTTTACAACATACAGTTTACTAAGATATCCTTTGAGTCGGCAATGCCCGGTAAGGATCCCTGTTACAATGCGTAGCTTGTTCTTGCTCAGACTGATACAGGCTTCCAATCTCTTCTGGTTAGATTCACCCAGAAGTACTGATGGTTGGTCCCGATTTTTTCATGGATCAGTTTGGAGCATTATTTTCATTAATGCGTTTGTCATATGGCTGTATGCAATGTGCCGTTCGGTTGTCTAAATTATGTTTACTTACAACCATATATGTAATGTTGTCATTACTAACGTCATTGAAGGTTGGGAAGTGTCACATTACACACCTCTACTTCCCGGTCTTACTTCCCGTCCTCACTTCCCGTCCTCACTTCCTGCCCTCACTTCCCGCCCTCACTTCCCGCCCTCACTTCCCGCCCTTACTTCCCGCCCTCACTTCCCGCCCTCATTTCATCTATTCTAGATGAATATTTTTTATATTAAAAAAAAAAATAACACATTTTTTTGACAAATTTTATAATACCTATTTAATAGTAAACAATAAAAAACAACAATGAACTAAAATACAACAAACTACTTATTGATATTTATTATTCGCGAATTTAATATCTGGCTTTATCTGACATTTATTTATATTGGTGACAGTTGTTTACCCCATAATCACAGTAACAATATATTTACTTGATTATTCTGAGAAAACAGCGCGCTTGGTAATTTGTCGTTAAATGTAATATTTTAGGTATGTTCAGAACGAAACAGAGATTTATTAACTTTGATCGAAATATGATGGTTGTAAATAAAATAGTATACAAACCTCGGTAGGAAGTTTCATTCCTGTCTCGAGATCATAGCTAACTTCGACGCTTAGCGTCTCGGTGATCTAACTAATCTCACGACAGGAATGAAACTCTTCCCACCTCGGTGTGTAATATACTATTATAAAATTAACAAAATATGTAAACATACCTATTATTGCCTAATGCCTAATTAGATTATTACATTCTTACAATATGAACATGTCAAATTAATAATTTAACAATAAATTGGAACCCCAAACGAAATCTCTATACCTAGTTTCTATTTTAAAAGTAATCTTAATAGAAACAGAAACAAAATGTTTTTATCCAACCGATCCTAGCTTAGTTAGTAGGTACCTACAGCCTACACCTACAGTCGGATCATTTAATATTTAGTATATTTTATTAATTCTGGTACCGCAAACACACAAATGCATACCACAGTGTGACCGCGGTCGTCATGAAGCGATGAAGAATCAAGTATTAGTTGGTAGTTTCTAGTTTCGAGTCCAACAGTCGTGCGACTCGTGCATCCACATGTTTCTGCGCATTATTTTCCTGTATAGTCAGTAAGAAATGCAGCAACCGAATAACAAATACGTCAAAGTTTGCGTCGATGCGTCTTAGTTTGTGAACTATTCGTTTTTCATGTTGGGATCAGGTACGTGATCCGAGTATCAGGAATTAGATCCTTGGATCAGTTCTAGTATTAGTTCGTCATCACTACCCAGAAGTATCTTAGCATATCTTAACTCCAAGAGATGGTTCCAATTATCGGTTTTTCTACTGCCCAATTATTTACTGTGTTACTGCTGATACCCCGAAGGGCTCAGGTCTCACGGAGGGTGTTTAAGCCCATTTCCTTGCGAGATTATCTGCAATCTCATTACCATTTATGTTATGTTGATAATGGGGTGTTAATACACTGCGACCTAAAAGATCTATTGTGCCCCCTTCTGTCGCCACTGCACTAAGGAAATGTATCAATGCCTATAGCGACCCTTCCAATCCTATTTTCTCAAGGAAGTGTAGGATTTGAAGTGGATTCAAGTTAGGTAAGTCTCCCTCTTCTATTTGATATCCATTACCATTTACCTCGTTATGTTTCGGGACCCAAGTGAGAGTAACTGTATTTTCCTCGTCTAGCTCATTTAGTTTTTCAGGGTATTTTCAGATAGCAGCTTGGTTATCGGACATGATGATTATCTCTTGTCTACGATACTTTCTCTTGATGTTATACTGGATAACTTTTCAATGGCGTGAATTTCCGCCTGAAAGATGTTTGGGTATATACCCACACTTTCAAAGGCCCATACACTCCTATTCTAGTTCTTCCTATGATTTTGGAACCATCCGTATATAACGAAATGGCTTGTATTTCGGTTGCATTCATGATGGATTCTTGACTTCATTCTTTCGTGCAGTCCAGTTTCATGATTTTGAGCTAATAGACCTTCGTCTGATTACTCCATTCTTGATCATTCTATATCTTGTCCTTTTTGCCACGTTATCTATCATTAAATGTAAAAGGGTAATGTTTAAAATCACCTCCATTGCGGTCGAAGGACAGGTTCTCATTGCACCAGTGATGCAAACACAGGCATTACTTTTGAGATATTAGCTCTCGTAGTAGCTAAACTAGTTCTGTTAACCCAGGCTACAGCCCCATAAGTGATGATTGGTCTCATTATTGTTGTATACTTTCATCGCAGTATGTTTGGGTTACATCCCCATCTTTTACCCTTAATGTTTCTGCATACCAGTACAGTTTTTGTGGCCTTATTTACTACTTCCTTCTCATGTATATTCCAGAGAAGTCTGTTGTCCAGGGTTAGGCCTAGATATGTGACTTCTATTTCCATTCTATATCTATCCCGTCTAATTTGACGGTTTTAAGAATAAGTCCCACCTCTTGGCACCATATTTTGGTGTATTTTAGTCCCCTTTGGACTATATCACACAGGATAATTCCAAACTTACCTCTAGCAAATATGACTATGCCGTCGGCATAACTTTGACAGGGTATATTGAGGTCAGTAAATCTGCATAGAAGTTCGTCTACGACCACATTAATGGGGATAGAACTCCTTCTTGTGAACATCCTCTGGTTGTGCAGATGGAGATGGTGTCCTGCCCTATCTGTGTCTTTGCAGTTCTTGTAAATAGCAGCTGAGCTATTCATCTGGATGTGGTGCTACCTACGCATCTGTATGCGAGTGCTTTTTTGACAGATTCCTATGGCGTGTTGTTAAACGCTCTTTCTGTATCTAAAAGGGCACACACGACCGTTTCTTTGTTTGTCAGTCCATCCTGAATTTCATCAGTCAGCTGTACCAGGGCAGTTTTAGTAGATCTTCCTGTTTGGTACGTATGCTAGCTGTGGTGGAGTGGCACTATCTCCAGGATTGTAATTATCAATAGCCTTCTCCAGTGTTTTTAATAGAAAGGATGATTGTCGGGAATAATTTAGGATTTGTGGTATCCTTTTTCTCTACTTTTGGAATAAAGGTGACTATGGCCATTCTCCATAATTTTGGTATATATCCCAGTTCCAGACTACTCCAGAGTATCCGGATTAAATGTGGTAGTAATTCCTCCTATGCCCGCTGAATCAGGGCAGGAAATATTCAATCCACACCTGGAGATTTAAACAGATAAAAGTGTTCACGGTCCATTTTAACCGATTGTTACTGCAAATGTGTTTGTCCACTGCAACTGCCTCTTTCGAGGGCTTGCTTATCTTATTTGTGTCCTTTATTAAAAAAAGTGTGTTCCCAGGAAAGCAAAATTTGAAAATGTAATTTACCTAAAAGACTTATTTAACGAATTATTGATAATTTATAATTTAATCCTGGACATAATGGAAAATCTAGAAAATTCCATAACATTTTGTAAACTGAAAACCATTCACCCTAGTATCATAAAATTACATGAGCTATTTTTAGAATTAAAATAGATTTCTTTATATTATGAATTTCAGCTACCATTAGAAGTAAAATATGAAAATATTTTAAATTTTGAATCAATCTTAGAGGTTAACTGTAAATTAGAAAAAATCAAATACAATATTTTCTATCAATTCCTATTGATTTTGAAACAGAATTCGAACTATATTATTTACTGCCAATTCCCACCAAATTTGAATCAGAATTTGTTATAATAATGCCAAACACAAAATATATATTAATATCCGGAAATAAAATAAAGCCTCTAAACGATATTTGCACACGCGGTAAAAAATTTCAATGTGCTAGCCATTTACAAAATAATAATGAACAATTATGCGAAAAAGAAATCACCATTATTTACTCCATTCCTCTAATGAGAAGTAATATTTCTCTCCCTAGGTAAATAATGATAATAAAAAAAAACCTAGGTAAATAATGAAACTAAATTTCATTAGTTTCATTTTGTTAATTTGACAACTAAACTCCCAGACTACTTGATATTTTGAAATATTTGAAAAATAAGTAGGAAATAACTAAAGCTGGGTTTATTAAAATCTAATCAAATCAAATATGATAATATATATCAGTGTTAATAGTAAAAATATATATTAACTAGGAAATTCAACACCGGCTTTAAAAATGATTAATTAATAACAATAAATCCATGTCATTAAAATATCAAAAATGCAATGGGATATTTCCTAGAATCATACCAAAATTTGACACATGCCAAATTTTTACATAAATAAAGCCAGTCTGATTAGAAACACGCTCCAGTCTGCTTGATATTTCGAAATATTTAACAAATTGTTAGGAAATTACTTATGTCAAAATTAAAATTGCTAATACATTAATGTTAGTAGTAAAAAAAATTCTATATATACCTCGGCTGAGAAAGCTATTATTTACCTCGCACATTATCCCTCGGCGCTACGCGCCTCAGGATATAAAAGTGCTCAGTAAATAATAGCTCACTTCTCACCCTAGGTATATAATGTACTATTACTAAAAGGAAATTCTAGCCAATGTCAATGTAGATATTTCTAAAAATCACATAGAAATTATACCAGAAACAAATTAATTTTTGGCAATATTTCCTCAAGAAGAAAAATTATCAATACAATGCTTGCAAGGAACCGAAATTAAAATCCTATCTGGAATATTTTTAATTGATAATTCACCATGTAAAATAATATTTAAAAATCACGAATTAACCTTTCAAGAAAAATCATTTGGACAACCAATTATAATAAATAAACCAAAATTGTATTTTGAAAAAATAAATCTGTTGCCAATGAAATTAAATTTAAAAAGTTTAAAACTAAAAGAAATCAGTTCAAATGGACCAATACCTATAATAAACGAAAATTTTAAGTATAATATTCCTAGTGCGTGGACAATTATTCTTTACGTTGGAGTAGCAGTAACAATTATTTTTATTATCCACAAGAAGATGCCTAAGAAGAAGAAAGAAAAATCCCCACCAGAACCAACCCCTGAAGAAGGACATATTCGACTTCCGCAAGAAGCCTCATTTTAACAAGGGGAGAGTTATAGAGTCAATAACCCTGAGTCGGCAACCTCGTGGATGAATCTTGGAACTGCTGACTATTGCATTAGATTAGTTTGTGTCATTCCACCTTAGGTGTAATCAACCTGTTATATTATATTTCCTTTTTTGATATTCAGTTTAGAATCTGTTCTTGATAACTAAAAACTAAATACCGAGTGTACTTGGTTAAGTTATATTTATTTAACTAGCCCAATAAAATTTTTATATTCTTAGTAAACATTTTTAAAGAAAAATTTAATATTAATATTGGCAATAATAGAAATATTTTTACCTTTGGTTTTTCTAGGAACACCTCAAGACGAAAATCAGAAGAACGTAGAACGAGACAGAAATGGACCGTTCGGTTTCTGCAATCCTAATTACATGGGCCCTGATATCAAAGCAGTAATAAGCGAAAAAATGGATAGAAAAAACATCGTAAAACTTCTATCGAACGATGACAACTACCAAAATTCCGATGACGAAAACATACTGGAAATGCAGAATTACGATGGAACTTTTAACAGGAACACTAAAGTAGTTTATAGACATTCTAGTAGAATGAAAAGACCTCCTCCAAAATCTTTAGCTCTAGAAAAAGACCAAAATCGTAGTCGCTCAAATACAGATAAGTGTAGGGCACATAGTGCAGGTAGAGCAGAGCATAGAGTAGAAAATGTTAAGCATGAGGTATTTGGATCGGGAGTTGATCCGGCACTTAGGGTTTATCTCTATATTTTTGGTGGAAAAGAGCAAGGTCAAGTGACGGTTTTTCAGAGACCTATCTCTATTTGGCGATTAAAATTGTTTTAAATCTCTTAGTCCAAAAATGTGCCAATATAACATAGATGTAGAAATTTTTACAAGTAAAATAGAATAGTTCGGAATCTTGGGCATATCTGCGGTTCATAAGTATTATAAAAATATTTATTCTGTTATAATCTAGAGATATATAGCAATGCATTCAAAATTTTATATTGATATTTAGAAGTTATCAAAATTATAATGTGAATAATGGAAAATATTCCACATTTGTCAAGCTATGTTTTAAATGGAGCAATTGGATTATATTAATATAAAATTTCCACAGAAGAATGGGAAGTTGTATATCAATTATCTTTCAAATATTGCTTACTTGTTTTTACGAGATAGATGGTCATTGATATCGCCATCGCCATCGCTCATCATTGACTTGGTAAATCAATATTAATTACACCCACATGGATATTAGTTATTCTACGCACAAACTACAAAACGAAAAAGTATGCCATTGCGTTCAACCGAAAGAATATATTTTAAGGGGCAAGTGGATAAAGGGGCTAAACTGACGAAATAATAATGTTCATAAAAATCACTCTTTTGTATTTCCACCTGGAACTTTTGTTTTAAACTGAATTAAAGTATGATTTTTTGGCATAATGTTACTTGTTAGTTTTACTATTAAACTAATTGTAAATTTTTAAAAAATATTACGGTATTACAAAAAAATATGTAGATAACTCTTTTATTCATAACATAATGGAAGATAAATATTGGTGCTGCAGAGTGATAAAAGAGACAAATTATGACAGACTTAGAAGTTTATTAAATATATATCTAAAAATGTACTATTCTACGAAACATATTTTAAATTTATACGTTTATACTGATCTACAAGTTTTCTTCTTTTCATTGGCTTCTTTCCATGTAAAGAGTAACTCATAAAACCAACGATGCTGTCGAGGAACATTTTATTTGTTCTTTTAAATCTTGAAGTTTTGATTGTGATATAGTGTCCCTAAGATTCTCTGGTAGCATTAGTTGAAGTGGAGACAAATTTTGTTTTTGTCGATTGTTCAAAAATGACAAGAACTTTTCACACATACTTCAGTTACTTTATTAATAATCCACATGAATCACCCCGTATAAATAATATATAATAAACATAAAAACAATATATTTTATTACTCATTCAGTAGATTATATCAACGAATTTAAAAATATTTGAAGACGGCCCTGCCTGCATAGCAACAGTAAACATAATCTAACGGATTTCTGAATTTCAGGTAAATATATTTACACACCTGCATTTTATTTACAAAAATTTAGCGTCAAATTATCATCAATCTTCCTTATGGAAAATTAACAGCAAATTAAGCAGTAAAGCTAGCCTTGTTACACTCATAACTTTGTTTTCCTTACGTCTACACAAGTATAGTAAAAATTAACCGTTAAAATATATCTACAACTACAAATAACAATATTCTATCCTTCTCTGCAAAGTAAATCATCAGGCAATGTTTCTCAACCTATTAGAACAAAAACATGCCCACTATCGTAACTACTTACACTTGATTCAACAAGAAACACTTTGAGAATGACACAATAACATCGTAAATTTCTCCCGTCGTGAGCTCGACGCTGAAAACTAATATTTTAAAATGATGTATTAAACCTGCTGCTTGCTAAATTTTCATAAATAATAAATTTTAAGGACTCATATATTTCATATGTAAAGTTGTTATAAGCTGAAGGAGGTGTAGTGTAAATAAAGTTGTTAATTGGATAACACATTTAATTTCATCATAATATAACAAGAATCTGGATGCTTTATTACTCTCCACTGTTCTCAGCTGATGGGAAAGAAACTCTTTTTACTGCGATTTAGAAAAAACAAAGTTACAGAGAACATGGTTCTTTAAAGCCGAATTTAGAAATGATCGTTGTCCCAGAAAACATTAATTTTTCAACAAATTGACTTGTGTATAAGGATTATATGATTCTTTGTACATATATGTACCAAAATTTTCCACGTGAATCCACTTAATTCCATCGCGACTGGTACCCTTTCATTTAAATATTTTTTTTATTTATAAATAAACTCTTCGCAAGCCTTTTAAAATCATTAAAAAAAGTTGTTCAATGTTAGTTACCACACATACTTTTACAGATGCTTTTTGGATTAATCCGAGATATTTATCAAGGTGTGTATATATTGCCTCATTCTTTTTAAAACTTAAAAATTAGTCATTAGATTGCCATGGATAAAATGGTTAAGTTACAGAAATTGGTTGTTTTTAACGGGAATAAAGGGGTCAAATGAATATGCTCCTTTTATTCATTTAGTTTCGATACTGTTAAGTTACTTAACTCCTTTATCTGCTACTTACGTCCTCAAATGGAGAAAATATAACAATTTTAGAGACGTGTGTAGTTTAATTACAAACATATTAAATTCGTTTATATCAAAAAACAAAAAATGTCAGTTAGCCCCAATATCCACTTGCCCCTTCATTTCATATCCTTTCTACCTAGTAGGAATACTGCAAAAAATTAAATCCACCAGTCAGTTCATATTTTGATTACCCAGCTTCTAATATTTTCTTAAAATTTTAAATAAGTGATAATTAATTGTCAGTATATATATTGGTTATTGAGACATTAAAATGAGTTATTCTTGTGTAGAATCGATAAATAATGGCATTTTTATTTTTATTTTGTCCAAATTTACAAATAAACCATAAATTTTAATAAAAGTATAAGAAATCAATATAATTATGAGTATTAAAACTAAAATGCCATGTGTCTCGATTGAGCAGATACTAGGACGTTCAATTCTGGGAGTTGAGACTAATTAAATTAAATATTTTATTCAAGTTTATTTTATTAAATAAATTAGCAAAAGTCATAAATTATTTTTAAATTAGGTATTTTAACTTAGTAATCTAAAATAATTTTTAAGATTTGTAGATTTTCGTTAGTGTATCGTACAAAAAAAATATACTATACAACTCTAGTAGATTGTCCATTTCCACTCCTGTTGCTCAAACTACTGTTAAAATACCCATATTTTATTTCAATATTATAAAAGATTGGGTCGCGGAATTTTGTTCGAAAATTTTTGTTCGAATCTTTTTGTTCGAAGTAATTTTGTTCGAAAACGTATTGTTTGAAAGTTATTTAGTTCGAAAACATTTTGTTCGAATATCTAATTAGCAAAAATATCCTCTCTTATTTTTATTAATTATGTATATACACTAAGGTACCGTCAAACGGGATTAAGTGAATCAAAAAAACACGTTTTTTTTATCTTTTCTCCAAAGATAAGGAAACTAAAAATATACAAAAAATATTGAAGGTTGTGACACTCATTACGAGTGGTTTTAATGATAAATCATGTTTTTTGAAAAAACAGAAATATATATATTTTTTTGTTAAAGAGTGACTCACTTTACCCTCTACTTTGGGGTAAAGTGAATCATGCATCTAAATTGTATTAAAACTCATTTTAAAATGTCTATGGATAAAATGAATCAATTTAGAGCAAAAAAAAACGACATAAGTTAAAGCTCCTCTAACGCGCTTCGTATTTTCTGCCAATTTAAAAGTTAGGTCTCTATGTCTGCTCATAAAGCTTTCAAACCAGTCGACTCCTGGCATATTCTCTTTAAATATTTTTTCTGTCATTCCAATTTCGTTTAAATATTGTTGCACAATTGTCCTAACATCCGTACATTTTAACGGAAATCCCCACTCGGCACAAATTTGTAGGGTTTTCTTTAGTCTAGTTTCCTGAGCTTCAGTTAGTGCAGTCTGCCGACCATATTTTAAGGGATTTTTTCCATGATACCTTCTTTGAATTGTGCTTAAAGGAACGCCAAACTGTTCTAAAGCTTCTCTTTTAGACATTCCGCGTCAAACCTCTGCCAATGCCCGGACAACAACACCGGATCATAATTACATTTTCCTCGTGGTCCCAACTTTTTTTTATACACCCTTGGCATGCTGAAACTAAAAAAATATATTAATAAAAAAACAAAAACAGCACAATTTTATTATATGACAGAATAAAAATAAACAATTTATACAATGCAACCCAAATATTACAAAAAAATGAGTGATTCATTTTACCCCTTTTACCGGCTTTTTTTTATAAAAAAAAAAGTGACAACGTTACTACAAATATTACGACATGAAATATATTAATATTATATTGCTAACTACCTAATAAATACATTTATTTTATTTAAACAAATTAAATTTTAAAACAATGAGATCTACACTGTGTCGTTTTTAATATTTCATAAATAAACAAAAATCGTTGATCCCATAAACTTTTCGTCTAACTTACCAGTCTACTTAAACGCAACAAAACACTCGGTACTACATCCAAAGGTACACTGAAGCGACACTCTGATGGGCACATGGAATAAACTTAAAGCTTTCGATGACAACATTGCCGATTTTCCAAAAAGTGTCCAGTGATTCATTTTACCCACTATGATTCACTTAACCCCGTTTGACGGTACATATCTATTTTTTTTAACTCTATAAGTCAAATTTGTAGGAAAAGGGGGCTTTTGATATAATGTACTTAAAAAAATGCTCAGTTTGATCTATTAAATGTTTATTGAAATAAAACTAATTGGAAAAATACGAATATTATTTTTTATTGAAATTTAATTTTTGTCAAAGTTGATTTAAAAAAGTTTTAATAGTTCCAGGCCGCACAGGTTAGTAAACTGTTTTTTTTTATTTTTGTCATTTTGTGTAAAAAATTATTGCGAAGCTATTAGTGATGACTCCAGTCCGTGTAGGTTAGGTAAATTAGTTAGGTTTTTTATTATTTTAATCAGAATACCAGGAAAATATTTTTATTTTTATCAATATATAATATATATTTAGATTCAACCATTTGAGATCATAAAATGTATTAGATCATATATTTTTTCGAACAATATTTATTCTAAAGTAATTATAAAAAAAAAAAAATTAATTTGGAAAGGAAACTCCAAACACTAATTTTTCTAGAAAAAAATTTTATTTATATTTTT